AACGGGCTCCACATCAACAGACGAACATCTTCTGAGTCCAAGGTCGGGCCCGGACTCTGCGGGTATTTGGTTACTACGGAGTACGGAGTACAACCCTGCCTCTACTGACTTGATCGTCTTTCTCATACACCGTTTGCCCTGGTCGAGATACAGACTACATTATGGTCCCGTTGCAGCATGTTGGCCATGCTTGTGTGCTTCGAAAGGCACTGCATCCCGGACCGTCCGGTGGATCACAACCTTATTGAGCAAGGATTAGGTCAAGATGCTCTTTCTTAGAGTTCAACGCTTTGATTTACCAGGGCTGAGTGACAGCTAGAGAAAGAAATGCCAATTTACTAGTTCGCGACCAAGGTGGGCTGAGTAAAATGAGCCTGAACTCATTGCAAAAACCTTTGCATGCGCCCGCTATTTCCGCCGGCCTCGCGAGCGCAATTCTCCGTCCGAGACAAGCTTTCACATCGTCACGTCAACTCATTATTGTGAATAGTCACGAGAAGTCATTTTCGAACTTTTGATCAAAGGCGCTCGCTCTCGCATTGAATGCGCGATATTTTTCGCTGAGCAGCTGGATTTTGAACCTCTGTACGCTGCCTTCAAAGCTATGACTTCACCGCCGGTTCAAGACTCTTTCGCGAGGTGATGAATTGTATTTTGACACTGGTGATCCACTATCAAGTCGGATTTCGTCACGCTTGGCCGTGAGACATGAAGCAAAAGAGATCCTACGCAATTTGCACCATCCATGGCAACAGCGCCAGCAATGAATAAGGTTCCAATGAAATGCCGACACTGACTCGGTGGGATTTCCCGGTGGCCAAGGCCCCCGTGATTTTCAGACCCCAACTCCACTCTTGAAGGATGATTTGACTCACAACCGTTGCGTTCACGCCCCGCCTCCCGCCTCGGGTTTTGACGACGCAATGGGTAAAGAGACTTGAGTACAACTTGAACGAAATACATCGTTCAGAGGGATGAAACCCAAGGTCGCTTTTCAGGAGAGATCGTCTCGCCAAGAACTTGACAAGATAATCAGAAATCCTAGTTCAGTAAAGAAGCAATGGTGGACGGGTCACGGATAGCTTGGAAGTGGTTCGTGCTAGAGGTGATCAACTCGTACTAGAAAAGTTTATTGTAGCGTCTGTTTGTACAGAGACGACCTCAGCTGGGTCTAGCTCTAGCGCTGCTGACCAACAACTGTTCAGAACGTTACTACAATCATCTTCAGTCCGCCTCTTCACAACTTGAGCATTAGTCACTCATCTCGCGATTTCAAACATGTTCCCGTCATGTCAGTTCAAAGAGGGGTGACCAGCAGTCGCTTATACAGCCTCTCCATTCGCAATAGGAACGAATCGCAAGAGACACCGTTGTCCGTATGGCCGGGCAGAAATGATCTGGTCGTGAGATCGCATACTCTCGGGAGTGATGGAAGGATCTGGTACAGTGGAATATCGTCCGTATATGCCACGGAGTAAAATCTTCATCTCTGCCAATGCAAGGCTGTTTCAAAGTTAGCATAGGCTCGCGCCCATAGTCCGTGGCAAGGTAGTGTAAGCCCTTACTGTTTTCCGACACAGCCTCTTCCACCATGAGCAAAAGCAAACATGTGTCTCTTTCTCTCGGCTTCTCCGGTGGGGGATAGCCAGCGTTCAGGGCTGAAGGTTTCAGGGTTGGGGAAGACTGCGTCGTTGTTGCGGTGAACCGAGTAGGCCTGGCTGCTCACGATGGTACCCTCGGAAACAAAGTAGCCATCGACGGTCTTCCCTCCCGGTGGGACCACGCGAGGTAGGGACATTGGAATCGCAGGATAGCATCGGAGGCCTTCTTGAACCACGGCGTCAAGGTAAGAAAGCTTGTCAAAAGAGGCGTCTGGATTCTCTCGAATCTCCTCCCGGAGTTTCCGTTGAATCTCAAGAGATGCCGGCTGTGACAGTTCCCACAACAAGAAACACAGCGAATCACCCGTTGTATCGATGCCAGCTACCATGTGATCCGTACATTCCGCGGCGATGTCAATGGCGTCCATCTGGTTGACGCTGCTGCCGCTTTCCCTCTTGTCTTGAAGGCGGCTTAACAGGGTGAACGGCGCAGGGTCAATTTTGGAGGTAGCACCGACAACGAAGTCCTTAGCAAGGGGCGTGGTTCGTGGATCGAAGAACAGGTCAAGAATCTTAGAGAAGTACTGGTAAAAGACAGGGTAGTGATGCTGGATAAGGCGGTCTGATTGGTAAGTTGAGGGTTAGCAAGCACCCACTGCATATCAACTCGGGAAACCTCACTTCGTAGACTATCGTCCGTTGTGACTTGCTCCATCATGTCCGTGTCTTCCTGTTTCTGGAGACTATTGGTTCCGTAAGGGTGGAACAAGTGATGGGTCACGCAGTCACAAGCGTAAGAGTGAAGCTTGACCTGGTGATCAGGGACAACAGTGTTAGTGTTACTGATACAGGACTCGCCGCCATTTCTTCGTGCTTGAAGATTTGAACTTACATAGACATTCACACTTCTACTTGCTGCATCAGCACACTGCCTGACAAACTCTTCCGCACGTTTCTCAATACCGCTCAGCGCTATGGGCTTCACCACATTGCTATTAGCATAGCGGTCGGCAATGATACGCTTGCGCTTCGCGTGCTGAGTAAAAGTTAGATTTTCTGTCTCAGAAAAGTCATAAAGCTAGGTAACTTACATCGCCCTTCACAAGGGTTGAAAACATGGTCCTAAATCACGAGCGCAAAACTCACGGTCAGCGCCGCCTCAAGATTTTCCATGTAATATCGGCACTTACCTGCGCCCGAAAACCTTGAAGAGGTTGTAGAAACGATGCTTGTCATAACCACTTCCGAGTGATCCGTAAATCTCCTTGACAGCCTCATAAGACGTATATGAAACTTCATTGGGAGCGATTCGCACGACCGGGCCATACTTCAAGTGCAAAGAGTGGATGTATAGCGTTCGATTTGCGCCGAACTCGTGCCATCTCAAGGCGATTGAGGTGATTTTGGACAGTGCTGGCCCGGGGATTCTCCACAAGGGGGATGAATAGCAGCGTGCCAGGTAGAACACTAAAAGGGCTCCAAGGATAGCCGCCACAGAGAACGGGTTCAATAACATGATGCAAGTTGTCGTTGCTAGTAGCACTGCCTTGCTGTGAAATGTCAAGTATCAATCACGCCAATTTGTAAGGGTTGGGAACGATGCTGAACATAAATACCCCGTAATAATAATACAGCTTTGCCGCGGGGTCGGCTGGGGAAGAACGGTAAAATCGGGGCAGATAAGGACAGATCAAGACGAATCAAATCCCCTCCAAATCAAACGAGACCTTTGTTGTTGAGTCATGGGCGGTTTACCCCGCCTATTTAGTTCGATTCCGTTCCCCTAATGTTAAGAATTGGCGAATTCCGGATGGGCGGTCTTGTTTTGTGGATATGAAAACAACGCCTGCTCCGGGCTCGGCCCCGCATTCTGATCGCTAATGTTAAGAAGACCCGAAGATACGGATCAGCCGAGACCCCCGGCCACAAAACCAACCCCCGAGTCAACCCATATTTCCCCTAATGTTAGGCGCAGCCGTAATTCCGTGATTCACGTTCCATCACTCATGAACTTTGCACGTCCGATCAGCCTGTCTGTGGTGACAACCAGCGGAGTACTTTCTTCCCACACTAGTCCGCTTCAAGGCAAAGCGAAGCACGCCGTACAGCAATCCTTCAACTGTGGCCTTTTCAAGGCGATCCTTATCGTAGTGCTACCTGCACCTAGTGTATATCCGAGATCTCAGACTTGAGGTCTCGGGTAAGCTGCTTTAGTCTCCGTCTCTCGGTTGATGCCAAAGTGTTTCCAGTACCGGTAGTCCTTGATGGACACGACCGATGTCTGGAAGGCAAGGACACTGGTGCGAATGTGTCAGCGTTTTGATATTAAACAGAGCCGGATCTGCCTTTGGGCAGAGGCAAAGAAACCTACATCAACACCATGACGATGAGAGTCACAATCCAGCTGAGAGCACAGCTTCCACCAGTGCAGAACCTTCCATTCGCCTGGCACAACAGACCAAAGGCGACGAACCAGAACAAAATCTCCATTGTATTGAGGATAGCGTTGGCTTTGAGCGAAGCCCACTTCTTGAAGCGCTCCTTATGAGTCGTCAGAAGTTGGTAGCCGATAATGATAAGAGACTTGAAACCCTGTAATCGTCTGGTATCAGTCTCGTTCTCGACAACATTGATTGCGAAAAGGAACGCTGCAAAGTTTCCCCCGCCACGAAGAACTCACCATTGTAAGGGCCATGATGTTGCCGCGAGTGAAGGGGACCGGCATGGCCATGCGCCAGATGGTGAGGATGATGGCCAGTGCCATTAGGGCGACTTGCGCGATGTGGATTTTGGTCTTGTATCTGGTATCGAAAAATCGACCGTCAAAGAAGTCGCGGATGCCCATGGTGACGATAATCGTTTTCCTTATGTTTACTGTAAGATCTTCGTGCTGAGTCGGCGGTTTTGACGGGCGGTGGATCGGATTTCGGTCTGCTTCTAGATGATCGATGAGTGCGGTTCTAGGTCTGATGAGGTGGTGAAGTTGGAAATTTGTAGAAGATTTGAAACTGAACAATTCATCTTGTATATTCTTCGACTTTTGTTTACATGTATTCGTTATGGCTCGGCAACTGCTTTTTGACATATACGCGGAGTTTAGTGAGGACGTATACGCGTATAAGGTTCGAACGCCAATTGCATCGCCACAATAACTCGAGACAATGGCTGAGGAACTCCACACCCCAGATGCTACATCGAGTATTACAGGTGAGATTAAAGCCGACTAGCTAAAGCGCGATTACCCGTAACGCCCATAATTAAAGTTGCCGCGTGGCATGCATGACCCGATTGCTTGGCTCGAGGCTTTAAGAAGGCGCATAGGTAGATTCCAGATTGCTGACCAAGGGTTTAAGGGGTCTCTCGACGCTACGTATGCTGCGGCGTAGAGACCGCAAGGCGTCATTTGTACGCGTTTATCTTAGATCTTGACTTGGGGCAGTGCTTGGGCTGGCGCGCTCTTGACTGTTTGCCAGTCATTCGCTCGTATAGATGGATTTCGAAACCGCCGCACACGTTGCCTTTATAGCGGTTGATGGTTGGCGCGACGAAACTGACAAAGGCGCTCTCTGTGTTGCTGCTTGAATTTATGATCGCTTGTGTGGTAAAAGCCGTCTTTGTGGAAGATCCTTGAATAGACTGATTCGCCGAGCAATTCGCACTCAACTTACTAGGTAGACTTTGCTCGCGGCTTGTCCCCCGAGTCCCCGACTGGATCTCTCAATCTAGGAACATTCTTCTTGGCTCGTAGGTGGTATTTGCGCTACAAAAAGCTCTTCTATCAATTTATTTCTACTTCGGTGCAAGCAATAGGCTTCGCCTCTTTTTTCCTTTCGTGCACATCGGCAGTTTGATACCAGGATATTGAGCTTCGCACCGGCGCACCGGCGCAACGGCCGCCCTACTTGTGTATAAATCGGCACTTGGAGAGTGAGGAAACCTTTGCTTCGAATGATGCATCTTATTGGTAAAAGGGCACAATTCCGCCCATTGACGACGGGCTGCCAACTTCAGAAGCTGAGTAGATTTGATCTTAAAGTTGCATGACCAATTTGAGAATCACCACGCGAATTATGACCAACATACACGAATTTAGTCGTCATGGAAGTTCTTGTCAAAGTCTCCTGGGTGGCTTGACGGAGTTCAGCTTTACTTTTCTCTCAGAGAACATGAGTAATGCAACCGCCTGGTGCGGGCAATAGAGTAAAGCGTGGTCCAGTGTCTGAGTAGTCAGCGAGTTGGTGAAGCTCGTTGTCAATGTCTGATGCATGTGCATCTTGATATTCAAATGCTGTGCCGTAGCTGCGCTTACGCATTGCAGTTGACACTGATAGTGACGGACAAATAGTGCCACTGCGTCCCTCACAATGGAAACGACGTTGCTGGGTCAAAAGAATAAGAGTCGTTAAGTTAAAGCTCCAAATCCTTTCCTCCAAGAACAAAGCAGAAATCAGGATCTCAACAGCCTCACCACCAGATCAAGTCTACGCAGAGAATCATGGACGCATCGCGGTTTTATTGTACGTTGCGGGGCGTTGAGCCGGCCTCCGTGGAAAGCCGGCGCCGGCGCCGGCGCTGGCGTGCCATTTTGCCGTCGCTCAGAGCATGAAAATGTACCGGAAGACCCGGAATGATATCACTGTACGAAGCGTTCGGTCTGCTATCGTAAAAGCTTAAATCTCATGACTCTTTCCCGAGAGCTTCACAGAGGGCAAGGCTCGCCGCCAAATGGGCCGGTAATTACCATCACCCATACATTAACAGCAGACTTTTGACAACACAGGTGAACCTTGTCAAGTCGGCATCCCTGTAGTACACGTCCGCCACGCCCGCCCGAACGCGTTATTAAAAAAGTCGAGCATGCTAATCTCAAGATATAATTGCGCACTTCAATCGGCCCATGGCCGACTTTGCACATGTTATCATCATGGCGAACCCTGAGCGGTGGAGCGTGTTGAAGCAAACACCTTGCCTGTAAAACAAGTCAGACTCGACAAACACTCTCCAGAACATGGCTTCGCTGCCTCTCGAGCTTGTGGAGCAAATCTGCTCATTACTCTGCTTCCACTGTCGATACCAAGGGACTTTTCCCGATGCTGAAAGCGACGATTATCGACTCAGCAAGAGAACACTATCACGACTTTGTCGCGTTTCCAGAGGATTTTGCGCTGTTGCTCAGCCGTTCCTTTTCCACGACTTCGCCACGGGCGGGTTACTCCAAAGGCATGATTGCGGTATCGGAGCGCAGCCTAGCAAGCCCTCACAAGACGACGAGTACGACGACAAGCTGCCCGTCTTCCTGCGCAGCATCATACAGCGTCCGGATCTGGCATCTCACACCAGAACGCTACAACTGGTAGAGAACGACGTGATCAGAGGGTGCACGCCAGAACTAGCTCCACTCCTCATCAAAGCGACCGAAGATGCTGGCGCGCTACGGCACGCTCCGAGCAGGGGCTATCTCCAAACGAAGATATGGAGTGGGTTCTCCGGTCAGCCAGAAGCTTTGTTGCGAATCCAGCGACGGAAGATTCACCACTGGCTCGGGGAGTTGGCAATTCTGCTATCGCCGAACCTCGCTATGCTTCTCATAGCCCGTGATAGCTTTGTGGACTATGAGCATATCAGAGATAGTCGGGCTTCCTTCCCTGCACTCCGATCAATTGCTCTCAGGGGCGTCAGGAAGAACCATCACATTTATGAGGCCTCTGCGCTCTTCGCCGCGGCGCCAAATCTTGAAAACTTGCATTCAATGCATTGCAGTCTCTTCGACGGTCAAAGTCCTTGGACTCTCGTGAAGCCTTGGACGCTGAAGTTGGGCAATCTTCGGAGATTGTCGCTGAGCGAGATAGGCTTTGAAGATCTTAATCTATTGGTGAAGTGCTGCCCGAGTTTGGAGGAGCTGGCAGTCACAGCGAAAGAAATCTACCGCAACTCGGGATTTAACTATTGGGATATGTCAAAATTGCTTCAGGCATTTGACCCGGTTCGCCATACTCTACGGAAACTGCGTCTTTCTCACAATTGTAGTCGGTCGCCTAGGGCAGACTCCCGGCAAGTTGCGTCTGGCGGGATAGCTTGGTCTTTCCGCTCCTTTGAGCATCTAGAGGAGCTTGTATTTGATCAAGCGGCAATCGACAATACCCCAAGAGCAGTTCCCTCGGAATATGGAGTGGATCTATACACCGAATGGAGGTTGGCCGAAGTCTTGCCATCGTCCATTCGTCGGGTTGAGATCTTGCATGCAGACCAAAACTGCAAGGAAAAGCTCAGGCGGCTTGCCGAAGACTCTTTGTTCACGTTACCCAATCTGAAGGTTGTTCAGGTCGACTATGACGAGTTCATAGAGAAAAGCGACCTTGATGTGCATTGCGTAGACACTATGAATGCCCGATTCCAATCGCTGGGCATCGAAATGATATGGAATGCAGGGTGTATCAAGGAGGAAGTAACGGCTTGACCTTAGTTGCTGTCGGTCTACCTCGAACCAGAATCGATTCATGGATAAGGACCATAGTTGCATGAGACAATGCCTGTAGAGTGTTATAATAGATAGACTAATAGATAGAAACGGGAGCATGGCATAGCATTGTCAGTCTGTACATAGATTTGACGAAGAAGCCATAGGCCCCTCACGCCGGGCATATAGAAATAAACATCGAAGACAAAGCTGTTCATTACAATTCTGCCAGAACGCATGCGATAGACGAGGTGTGTTCCGACGGGCTTCGACGAACATATGCCGACTATGGAGAATAAGACAGGCGAATGACCACGATACGCCCGTCTCCTAGGAAGCATGGATAGCAAGCGAGGTCGGTAATACCCTAAACGATATTCAAGCTCCGAAGCGGTTGAACAGTCCTGGGACCGTGGCCCAGAACCTCGATCTCGGTATGTAGCTGGCACAAACATTAGCGGGCCGGATACGCAAATCAAAGACATGGACAGAGATGAAGCAAACGCTTCAAGCGACGAGAGATAACACCGATGTCCGCGTATGCGCTGCAAGTGATGCTTGCCAAACCTCGCCGTGCAAACTGCATCCAGCGGATACAACCGACGACCGAGTGTTCCACACGCACATTCAAGTGCGACCACCATTGCCTCATCGGATTATTTGTTTGCTCGTCAGTCAAGGACAACGGCGAACATGCCGGCAGCCGAGGTTGATGTCGCTGTCGATGCTGATGCCCCTCAGTGGATTCTCGTCAAATGCCCGCAAAGAGCCGAGTTCTGGAACAGTCTCGTCGCCGAATACATTGCTCGATCATGTCTCAGATCAGCCGCAATAACTGGACGGAGGATCAATACGGCGGTGGTTTTGACAGGTGCACCTGCAAAGTAGCGCAGCGACAGCAGCCACTTGTTTCGAAACGCCTCTGGCTGAACCCTCGCATGGTGTCAACGGCTTTGTGAACAGGGGGACGGGTTGAGCTAGAGCTGAATAGGGGCGAGAGAGCGAGAGGCCAGCTTCGAAGGTAGAGATGTAGACGACCTCGAATTTGTTGAAAACTTTGTGGCGGCGCCAATGGTGTCTTTGACTCCCGAGACATTCCTAGTTCTGGTACTGGGGTTGTGCCGGCCGTCGACGATAGCGTCTTGGAGTAAAGGCAACGTTGATTTGATGGTGTAGGTACCCCGGAGGCCGAGTCGGTCCACGACAGAGGGCTTGTCGACGTTGATGGCGTGGAGTTGGTGCAATGAGACGGCGTAGAGACTCGTGGCGGAGCGCAAGGACCGGGAAATCGGTTACATGTTGAAATTACGACGCAAACATTCGAGGTATGTGCCTCGACCGAGGTGTCGCGTCTCGCGGACTTGTGGGGAAGACGGCATAGAGTGGATGTCGAGTGCCATGCCCCACGCGGGAAGATAAGGACACAACGGGGCAAGACTGTCTGAATATGAGCACTGAACGGACTAAATGCATGAACATGCCAGCAATCGCGTTTGTGTCAAAAGGAAACGTAGCGCCGATCCCATCTCAGTAGCAGAAGCGCGTGTCGTGGTGTCATGGTGTTGTGAACGTAACCTCCCATCGATCTCGAGCCACGTGCGTCACCGTGTCTATGGACATGCTCCCTTGTCTTTTCGTAGAAATAACAGACCAGCTATGATGAGGGGTTGGATCGCCAAGTTGACATTATTGATGCGAGAAGCGCAAGCCTGGCCGCCTTTCCCATTGATAGCTTGATGGCAGGCAGGGCGAGGGGTAGATCCTTGTCAAGGAGACCTAGAATATCGATGGAACAAAGGAGACGCCAACGATTATCAGAGAAAACTTGAAGAGGAGATGGCGACAGTTGTCGCACAACGGGGTGGCACATTGAGGAACAATCGAACCCAAGTCGGAGACCCAAACGACCCAAGTCAGGTTGACAGAGCGGCAGGAATGCATTTTGGTCCCGCGAAGGCAGCGAGGGTTCTCCCGGTCGCAACCGAAACTCTGGAAACTGTTCCAATGGTTGGACAATCTGGGGTGTTGAGTCTGTGGTGCGACTAGATCTGACAAGTGACAAGAGATGGGCGAGCGTAACTATGGTCCTTGATTACTTGGAGGACTCCCTCCGTGATGCTAAGCCTCACCGCCGAACGAGAACTGGGGGGGCTCCGTCTGCCCGCTTGGATCTAACGGCTTCGCTAGAACCTGTTCGTGTTGGTCTCGTGCGGCGCAGTTTCTCGCTTCCTGGCGGGCCATTCGAAGATACCGAAGGAAAACACTGAGAAGATTCGAGACAGTCCAATTTTGAGGTCCGAATGGAGAAGTCAAGGAGAAAGTAGAGTTTGTGCAAAGCAATGTCGACGGAGTTGTTCAAGGCGCGCGGAGGGAACATCCCTCACCTTACCTTAGTCATCATTCGAGTGATGACTAACACCATGGATCAGCACGTGACCAGAATGATTGGAGCGGCGGTACGTACTTGTCTCCCGGAAATGGACGCAGAGCAAACGGAGGACGTTGCGCGTTGCCATTCATGTCCATCAAACTGCACGTCAAAAGCCTTTGATCAATCTATCGGGCACTTGCATTCAACAGTTCAACGTCAGGCTGGATGCATGAAGTGAGCGGCATCTAAGACCCTCGAACTGATTGCAGCATCGTGCAGAAGAAGCAGCCTGCCGCCCTTTCTCACTACTTGAGGCCCTCGTTGTGCGACTTGGAGATGCCCTCGCCCATCGCATCACATCACTGAGCAATTGTCTTGAACCCTGACCCGTCTCGTCTCTCCTGGAAGCCCCTTATCGATTCTATCTCGTCTGGTCTAGTCTTCATCCGCCAACATCCAATGGCTCGGAGCTTACGAGGAACCCGCCAATGACGCTCTCTACCCGTCTCTGGTCTTGGAGCCTCCCGTCTTTTGCCATTCCGTGTGGGTGTCGCGTCCTTCCGCTGCCCTTACTGCCTAGTCTTAAGTGCGACGGGGAGGGATGATGTTCTCCTATCCCAGTCCAAGTACCGTGTGCATGCCCAGTGCCGGCGCTTGCTAAGTTGCCTTGTTGGCTAACGTCCACTTACTGCATCCTGTACTAGCTCGTCATCATCATCCCGACTACGCCACCAGGTATGGCTCCAGCTTACACAGCACACCGTTCGACGCATGGAGGAAGAGCCCCCAAGACATCTGAGACAACGTCTGGCCCCCTCCCAGGGTACCGTCTCTTGTACAACACCAAGGGGCCGATACTTGGCGTCCGCTTCTCGTTCACCAGGCAGAGTCAGAGGCAGCGCGACCTCACCTTCTGTACTCCTGCCCTTACCGGAAGCAAGCCGGTGTGACATGGGAGCCCAGACAAGTGTCTCGGGGACTTGCGCTCTCTACTCTCCCAGCGCGACCATCACCGTCTGCTTCCGACCCCAGCATCCACGTCCTCGGCAAGGCCATGGTCTTGGTCGGAAGTTCCCCCAAAGGACTGACACGTTCAACACACGTAACTTGAGCTATATAGAATCCGTGATCTTCTCCCCTACAGTATCCTTGTTTCCCAGTCTCCTCATCAGGATAAACAAACAAGATCAACAGAGTAGCGCTGCCATCTCATCTGCCTTCCGCATCGTGTCACTGCTCCATCCCGAGTACCCGACTCTACTTCACTGGCACTTGTAGACCTCTCAACCCTCTCTACAGCATTCGACCGTCTCGTCGTCATCGCCAACATGTTCGACGCTCAGAAGGCCGCAGTGCCGTCCTTCATGGCTCCTCCGACATTCCTGCAGTCAAGAGCGTCAACCCTGACACCAAGCGACTCGAGCTCAAACTACGATGAGATGGAAAAGGACATCGCGAGCTCTGCCGCATCGTTTCAAGATATACGAATTGATCCCATCCTTCTCCCTCCTGTCCCGTATAGCGAGCTATCGAGAATACCTTCCGCCAAGTCAGAACAAGCCGAGATCGTAAATAACGAAGACGATCTCGAATATCCCAAGGGAATGAAGCTGGCTTTGATTGTCATGGCATTGTGTTTCAGTGTGTTTTTGATGGCTCTCGGTAAGGAACCGTCTCCCCAATTTCCACACTCCTTCAATAGGGTAGAGCTACAGCTGACCATAACCACCACCTAGACAACTCCATCATAGCCACCGCCATCCCGCGTATCACGGATGAGTTCAAGAGCTTGAACGACGTCGGCTGGTACGGCAGTGCCTACCTCCTCACAACAGCCTCTCTCCAGCTGCTCTTTGGCAAGTTTTACAGCTTCTTCAGCATTAAGTGGGTGTATTTGATCACCATCGCCATCTTCGAGCTGGGCAGCTTGATCTGCGGTGTCGCACCCAACAGTATCGCTCTGATCATTGGCCGCGCCATCGCGGGAGTAGGTTCAGCCGGCATTTTTGCCGGAGCACTCATCATCCTCGCCTATAGCGTGCCTCTCGAGAAGCGTCCCATCTATACTGGTGCCGTTGGTAGCATGTGGGGTATCTCGTCCGTTGCTGGTCCTTTGCTGGGTGGTGTCTTTACAGATAGTCTGACGTGGCGGTGGTGTTTCTACATTAACCTGCCGATTGTAAGTTGATTTTGATTCTTCGTCTTTGATGCCACCGTGCTAACGCCGTGGATAGGGAGCCGTCACCATCTTTGTCATTCTCTTCTTCTTCCCTGATCCCGTCCGCTCCATTCCCCAAGAGACATGGCGAACACGCTTCATCCAGATGGACCCTCTCGGAAACATGCTCTTCATGCCAGCCATCATCTGCCTCCTTCTCGCTCTTCACTGGGGTGGCGTCACATACCCCTGGGCCTCTGCCCGCGTCATCGTTCTCTTCCTGATTTTCGGCTTCGGCATGGCGGGCTTCCTCTACTTGCAGTACCTTGGCCAGGAAAACGCCACAGTCCCGCCGCGCATTTTCAAGCAGCGCTCAGTCTGGTCGTCCTCCTTCTTCGCCTTCAACACTGGCGCCGCCTTTCTTTTGTCTGTCTACTTCCTGCCCATCTGGTTCCAGTCCGTTCAGGGTGTCTCCGCCGTCAACTCGGGAGTCAGAAATTTGCCCATGCTGGTCAGCAACATCATCGCTTCACTCGTTGCCGGTGCCGCTGTCACTATCTGGGGCCTGTACACCCCATGGATGATTCTTGGCTCGATTCTCATGGGAATCGGATACGGCCTCATCTCCACCTTCAACCCCAACACATCCTCCGCGATGTGGATCGGCTACCAGATTCTCGCCGGTGCCGGAGTCGGCGCCGCTATGCAGCAGCCTTTAATGGCTGTGCAGGTGGTCCTCGACATGGCCGACGTGCCCACGGGAACCGCCATCATCATCTTCACACAAACGGTTGGCGGTGCCATCTTTGTCGCCATCGGCCAGACAGTCTTTACCAACAAGCTCGTGGAGAGCCTAGTCGAGTACATCCCGACCATTGACCCCCACTCCGTCATCGCCGCGGGTGTGACAGCCATCCGCAAGACCATTGATCCGTCCCTCCTGCCCGCGGTAGAGCACGCCTACAGCGACGCCCTAGCACAGGCGTTCCTAGTGAGTGCTGTGACGGCCTCGGCGACCATCATCGGCTCCGTGTTTGTGGAGTGGAAGAGTGTCAAGGGCAAGGATGTCCACGTAGGCATGGCGTAGTCGAGGCTCGGAGATGTAGTCGAGCTTCTCGGCGATTTCATTCCTTCAGCTCGGGGACTTTCGCGACCAGAGCTCATCATTTCCCTATGTTCCTTGGCGTGATTTCAGAATGTAGGCTATGAATTGGGAGGCGTTACGGGTTAGGAGCATTTGCTTGATTTGATCGGAACTGAATGGCGGTATTGGCGGGGAACATCCGTCTACTCGGGATAGCATGCCGCATCTTTTGGAGAATCCTCCGATTGAATGCGGAAGAAGAATAAAAATAGATTACATGTCAGCCATCATCTGGGATCCCACGTGGCGAAAGCTGTCCTGCAAGCCGTAAGCACCTTAAATAAGCCAAGCAATTTTTTGATCTTCATGCTGTCAACTACACTACCACTCACATCTCGCCAACTAATTGCCATCCGCAACACGGATAACCATCTTCTTGGCACGGACGGTACCATTCTTCAACCCATCGAGAGCCGTCTTGACGCCCTCGAGGCCCTTAACAACCTCATACGGGTGCGCCTTCATCCACCCCGTCCTCAGCGCCTCGGCAAACACCCGCGCCCAAATCAGGCCAAACAGCCTGCCCTGGCCCTCCTCCTCGTGCACGAATCCGACGCTCGTAACAACGACCTCGACGGTAGGATCGACGTCACTAAAGTCATTGCCGGGCAACACCGTCGTGACTCTCGGCTTGAACCCCGTGCCATCCTCGGGCGGGCCGGCGATGGCCTTGCTAAGCATCTGGAACGATCCCTTCTCGCTGACCGTGTCAAACACCCTGAACGATCGCTGTCCGGTCGCCTTGATCATCTCCCTCAGCTTCTCGGCCAACTTGTCCTGCGAATCGAACTGCGTGTAATCCAAGAACACGTCGCCCTTAGCTTCCTCTAGCAGAGGCGTGACGAACGCGCTGTTCTTGCTTCCGATGGCGATGAGGGGGTGCACGCCCGCCTTCTTGGCAAGCTTGATACCAAACGCCCCAATCGCCGTGCTGGCGCCGTAAATCACCACCGGCGCCTTGGTCTCCCTCTTGCGATCCCAGGGCGAGGGGATCTCAAGCGAGTGGAACAATGCGACAGCAGCGGTATACGCCGCCAGCGGCACCGTCGCGGCCTCCTCGTAGGACACGCTGGCGGGGAGGTGGAAGGTGGTGTAGGCGGGAACAATGGCGTACTCTGCGAAGCTGCCGTTGGCTGTGCGCATAATGTGGAACCCGGCGACGCGATCGCCCTTTGCGAACTCGTAGACCTCGGCGCCGACCTTCTCGACTGTGCCGGCTACGTCATCGCCCGAGTTGGAGGCGGCTTGGAACCAAAAGGGGAGTTTCCAGTCCTTTGGGTTCGTGCCGGAGACAATGACTTTGACGAGGAGCTCGCCTGGGCCCGGTTCGGGGATGGGGGAGTCCTTGATGTCGACCGAGAGGTCGGCGTTGACGATGGCTTCTTTCATGGTGAGTGATGATGTGCTCTGCTTATGATAGAGTGGCGTAAGTTTTGTTCGGATGAGACTTGACAATCCCTAAAGTTTAGAATACTGTCGAGGTAAAGAATCGTTCTGTAATGTATAAGAATTGAAGCTCTAATATCGAAGCCAGTGACGTCAAGACTTCCGGGACCTGAAGCTCTTCTTTGTACTTCTAGATTCCATGCATCCAGTCTCCATCCCGAATACGTTCCCGAAAAGAGGATACCTCCCAGTTTCTTACACCACTGTACAAGGCATTAGGTTCCATTTCTCCCTCGGACAAGGGAACACCCGCTACAACCACATGGTCCCCCTCCTCAACATCTACAATACTCTTCCAAACAAACATGGGGGCCTCGCTTCGGCGCAGGGAAACGCAGGTCCGGGCGAGCCGCTTCCAAAGGGCCCCGCCCGGGTCCCCGTCCCGTGTGTGGTGATCGCACCCACAGTCCAACACTTCAAATGAGGGGCAGAGCATGGGCTTCAGGGCGGATTACAAATCCAAAGTCTGGCAATGTTGCACCCACTAGGTGATTTGTGAAAGTCCGCTGCCCAAACTCCGCTACTTTAGTCATCTATCGTTATGAAGTCGGATAGTTGAGACAAATCTCGGTCTCGCTTTCTAGTGAATGCATCGTTAGTTAACAGGATTTGACCTGTATCAGTTGATGCTAGTTTCGGAAATCCGGAACAATCCAACGCCCTAGAGCCCCGGCGCCTTAGTACTAAGTCGTTGATAGTATTGTACCTTTATCTGACAACAACAGCAACTCAAAATTGGCGCATTCCTACACGCAGTTTGAGTCTGTCTGTAAGCCAATTGAACTCTAACATCGTAGATACCGGAGTTAATACTCTGGCTCAAGCCATATCATACACAACCACATCAATTAGTACGGGCTTTTTGTTCGGTCCAACAAGTCTCCTGGCATTATTATTCAACCGCAGCATAGAGATACAATCTTGCGGTACGGGGTTATCTGACTCTGACAGGTGTCAGGAAGAATGGCAGTATCAACTAATTTACTAGTTATATGTCCTCAATATTTCTGGAAAGACATCGAAGCTAAGTACACCAGCCGGGAGCCTCTTCAAACTGCTCAGGATCAATCTTTTGCCCACCTACAATCCAGGTCCATCCCCAACTCTGGCATACATGTCATCGATGTCGTCCTGATACAACTTGAGAACCGCCACCCTCTGTACATTGCCCTTCCCGGCAATGGGGAACGGCTTTGCCTTTCGACTAAACAAGATCCTCTCCTTGGCCAACTGACCAGCCGCATCCAAGATCTCGTTACCCTTTTGCACGAAGGGCCAGATACTATCCAACATCTCCTCTTCCGACGTCCCTTGACCGTCATCGGCAAGATCAATAACAGCACAAATATGCCGCCTCCCCGTCCCGCCGACAACAACATGCTTCACCGCCGGATGCTGCGCAATCTCCCTCTCCAACAACATGGGATTGACATTCCAACCAAACTTGGTCACCACAATATCGTCCCTCCTTGAGTAAAACTTCCAATGGTGCGCCTTGGTGGGATGCTTCACAAACAAATCATTGCTCCGGAAGACGCCGTCGACGATGTTGCTGTGCCAGAAAACGTGCTGCTGCTTCTCCACCTTGGGGTTTCTCACAAACGTCATCTCGTAAACCTGTTCTTGCGGCTCACCTTCAGACCCGGACCCCTTGACCTCGCAGGCTTCCCAGACGATCCCGCTCTCTTCGTCGTTGAGGCAGAACCAGTCCCAGTCCTCGCGGTCCGTCTCGTGACCTAGGGCGGCGCCGGCCTCGGTGGACCCGATGAGCTGGTCAAGCTTTGTACGGGCTGAGAGCGCGTCGCCGGCGGGTTTGCTGAGCGCGCCGCCCGCGTAAAAGATGAACTTTAGTTTCTTTTCGACGGAGGCGAGGCACACGGGGGATTTTGCCACCATTTCTAGGTAGATCGGTACTCCAGCCAAGCAGTCAAAGTCGCCGTGCTCAAACATCAGTTCAAGTGTCGATGGCGGGATGGGACCGAGGGTGTTGGGGCCCAAGACGAGGACCTTTTTCCGGAAAAGGGGGTCGGTGACGGCTGAGAAGAAGCCAAAGGGGTGGAAGATAGGCATGGTCTGGTAGCAGCGCTTCCCCTTTGAGAGAACCTTGTGATAGGACGGTCGGCCATCGAGATCTGGGAGGAAGCGCCAGACGGTATCGACGACGACAAAGGACCTCTGTGTCCAGGTGACAGGCTTAGGCAGTCCCGTCGTGCCCGAGGTGTGTCCCACGGCCGCCGGATCGTCGATGCCTTCCTCGTAGGTCCGCGTGTAAGGGTACGGGTCTACATCGCCATTGTCATCGAGAAGGCTGTCTAGAGATGGTGCGGGAAAGGTCTTCATCGGTCTCGCCGCCAACAGCGGATCGACCATGGCGTCTACGCCCTCGCTCCGCATCACCTTGTGACAATCCTTCTTCTCGCAGAGACTCAAGTTGTAAATGAGGCTGTTGAAGTGAGAACACAGCAGGATCTGGTGGCCCGTCTTCATGGCGGCGATGACGTTGATTGCGTATCTGATGTCGGGGAGGCCAAAGTAGAGCAACGTGTCGAATGTTGTGCTCTTTCCGATGTTGGCCTCGATGTGCCACGCCACTCTGTCTACTGCTCTTGATAGCTGACGGATGGTGACATCGCGGAACCCGTCTTTGGCGATGTCCTTACTGATGGCGTATGAAGCCCAAATGCGATCTGGGTCCCGCGCAACCTGCTCGGCCACAACATGTGGAATGAGGCGGTGGGTACTTTCGTCTGCCATTGTCATGAAGCCGGTGTTGCTGCCAACTTGGATGAATTGAGCACACTAAAATATGGGTTGCAAGAAGCATGCCAAGAAGATCTCAAGTGGACATCCAGGTGCCAAGGTAACCTATCTGCTTTATACATCATGAACACTATGTGGAGAAGGAAGTTGTCATCACGGATTTCAATCCTCCTAGTCCACATTCCTCTCACGTCAGCTAGGTGGTGCATTAGCCCACTAATCAATCAAAACTTGGGGCATTTGGGAACTTTGGAAGACAAAGGCAATTTCTGGGGTTAGCCTACTAATGCAGAGGTCGTAAGCTTAGCTTCGTCTAGCGGCCGGTAACGTCCAGATTGGACGGGGCTCCGAAAGATCGTCATCAAGTCTGACATGATGAAAACGTGGATAGGCCAGGACTGGCCGGAGACTCTGACATAAACGAGCCGCAATAGCCGCTTACTAGAACCGATGTCACCTGTTGCACTAACACCTCAAAACCTCAAAATCGTACCAAATGAATTGTAGTATTTACGACTTTCCTCAACAGTATCTACACAAGCTAGATGTGACTCTGGAAAAAGTCCACATAGTCAAAAAAGCTCCTCTTCACCCACCTTGCCAACCCTGGATCCGACCGATTCACACCCATCATTCCATACTGTGCCTCGAAGCTCCCAAACTCATTATTATCAATCCAGCTCCACGCCAGCGCCCCAATAACATTCACCCCGTCCTCGTGAATAGCCCTCAACGTC